TGTGTGCTATCATGGCACTACCAGGAATGGGGGAGGGGTGGCATAGGCAATGGGGGGCTGTCTTTTCTGCTCTCTTCAGTGCCTCTTTCCTTGATATAATGTTAATATCAGGTACTGTGATCACTCACCTGATATTTGGTTCTACCGAAGTTGCTTCGTTGTGTAGATAGTTGTTGAATTTTGTGTTTGTGCAGAGGGACAATCTTTGGAGGTTTCTATTTGGCCATCTTGTGCCACCTTTTCTCTCTCTTGAGTTTAAGAATAATTTTTTTAATACTAACAGTTTCAGCAACTAATTTATAATAGAACATTTTAAAACATAAAGGTTGTTCAAAATTGACTTCTAGATTTAAGATTACTTTAAAGATATAAGAATATTTCATTTTAAAACATATAACTAGTCTCTTTTCAGCTGCTTTTAAGTGTTTTTCTAGGTCAGACCTTATAATACAAATTTAATTCTTTTGTTTAGCCCTCTGGATTTGTAAATTGGAACTTCCTGGCATGTATTTCTGAAAGAAAATATCATGCTACTTATTCTATTTATTGATCTTTGCTGTATTTCTCTCCCTCTTTTTAAGGAGAACTCAATAAAGAAGGTGATAGAATTTTGGTAGCTGAAGGAGGTCTTGGTGGTAAATTACTTACAAATTTCTTACCATTGAAAGGCCAGAGACGAATAATTCACCTTGATCTAAAACTTATAGCTGATGTAGGCCTAGTAGGGTAAGTATCATTCATATTTTTACTATTATACTTTCAAAGAGAGAGTCTATGAATAGAAAATAAATGTACATAGTAATTTGGGGCCAGAATTATTTCTAGTTTATGTAATTTGTGCATTGTGTATGTACTTTGGCAATATGCTGTCAAAGTCAGACAAGAACAAGATAATGAACTATTTGGATTAGGATATCAAATCCTCTGGAGGCTGGCTACCTGGTCGTCTTTGTTTTCTCATCTTTAATAATGGATGGAGGCCAGGCGTGGTGGCTCATGCCTGTAATCCTAGCACTCTGGGAGGCTGAGGTGAGTGGATTGCTCAAGGTCAGGAGTTCCAAACCAGCCTGAGCAAGAAGACGACCTCATCTCTACTAAACATAGAAAGAAATTAATTGGCCAAATAATAATTAAAAAATTTTTAAAAATAGTGGATGGAGATAGTGCTTACGTTAAAATGTTGGTGGGTAAGATATACAACAGAACACATGCTTTGCATTTATGAGTGCTCAGTTAATTGCAGCTGCTACTATCATCATCCTTGTGTTGTAAACTTACTGATGACTGCATGAAGTACTAGAATCTTCAGAAGTAGGTTTGAAATTACAACCAGAGATAAAAGCATCAAGATTCTTAAGCATATTGAAAGAGAATGGGAGAAAAAAATTTAAAAATTCTTAGGTAGAATGTTTAACATATGTATTCTATTGCTTTTAATTAGGCAACCATTTGTGAAAAGTTCCTTCTGTGAATATAGCATAAGTAGATAACCTTGTAGCTGGTTTGGGGAATAGACTGAACCATAGAAGAAAATTATCATTTAACTAATATGCTTGTACTACTGTTGTCAGATCTTATCTTTGCATAGGTTGGATTTCAGCCTCTAAAATTTTCATTAAGTACTTTTCAAGAAAAATCTCAAATATCTGTTCTTCAGCCATTAGCATCCTCTTTCTACTAATACTTTGATCTTCTTGGAAATAGTTGCTTGCTTTTTTATGTGCTTAATAATTATGAAAATGTGAGGATATTAGAAATAAATAAGCAAGTCCAACTAGTAGTAATCTTGGAGAAAAATATTGCAATTTGCTTTTCAAAAGTTACAAGAGGCTGGGTGAAACAGGATATGAGAAAATAATGTATGTTCCAGGAGAAATGAGTCATTAAGAAATCTCACATAATTACATTTTAAATTCATTGCAGAAAGATTTTTTTATGAGGAAAATTATTAAAAGAGCTTATAAATTTTAATAGAATTCAAAAGTAATATTTGCAAAATGTTACATTATTATTCCAAATGAAAGTTTGTCAAAGTTTTTGAAAGAAGAGCTTCCTTAAGGAGGCATAGATCACACTTGGCTCATTACTGTATTTCTGATGCTTAGTATGTTGCCTTATACAAAGTCAGTGCTTGATAAATATTTATTGGATAAGTTTAATGAAAATATGTTAATGAGTTTTAGGAAAGAATCTTTTAAATGACCTCCATTCCTAGTACTTACTTTCATACATGGTAGAACTTTCCTAAGGGAAATTTAGCAATGAAATCGAAAGCCTTTAATGTGAGAATATATTTTACTTCACAATTTGCTTATCTAGAAATTTATCCCAAGAAAGAGATCAAAGGTGTATACAGAAGTTTAAGGATAGTCACTGCATTGTTTAAAGTTTGTTTAAAGTTTTTAGGAAAAAGTTAAATAATACATGTTTATTTACAGAAAGAAAAAATAGTTGTGTATTAGTCCCACCACTCAGAAATGACTATTAACAATATATGTCATTATAGCTGTATACATATTTTTTGCAGTTATAATAGTGAAAAATTAGAGACAACCTAAATGTCTATCAGTAGGAAATTAGTCAAATAAATTATACTTTACCATTGAAAGGTGTACACCTTATATTTAAACCCTGGTTTAAAAAGCAGGCCAATCAACTGTAAATAATTCTTTAAAAAAAAAAAAAATTGACCAGGTGAGCTGGCTCATGCCTGTGATCACAGCACTTTGGGAAGCCAAGGTGAGAGAATCACTTGAGGACAGGAGTTTGAGACCAGCCTGGGCAACATAGCAAGATCTCATCTCTACAAAAAAAGTTTTTAAAAAATTATCTAGGTGGGCATGGTGGCATGCGCCTGTAGTTCTAGTTACTTGAGAGGAGTCTACTTGAATTCTTAGGAATCCAGAAATAAGCAAGTATTATTAATATTGGTATTTGCTGTAATGTGCATTTTTATTTTCTCATTTCAGATTCCCAAATGCTGGAAAATCCTCTTTGCTAAGTCGAGTTTCTCACGCAAAACCTGCAATTGCAGATTATGCATGTAAGTATAATTTGATGGTATGTTTTAATGTGTGGAGGTAAACTTTTTAAAGACTAATATTTCCTCTGAGTATGAATAAAATGACAACTCTGAGGATAGCCTTAGTTTTAAAACTTGGCAGATAAAATGCATGCGTTTTCCATTAATCTTTGAAACCTCTAAACCCCTCAGGAAAGTTTCTTGTCCTTGTTAGACACTTACTTTATTGCATTTAATTTATTTCTCTGTTGCATAATCATTTATTTGGTTTAATTAGAATTTTATGAGCCACCTACTCTTTGTCAAGTACTGGGAAGGCTGAGAGAATACTTTCATTCATTTAGAAAATATTTGTTTCTAGGAACCACATTATGTTGTGGGGTTACAAAGACTGGTAAGCAGAAACAGCTGCTGTTCTGATTTTTATTGAGCTTACAGACTAGCAGGGGAAAGTATATGTATACTAATAAATAAAGAGAATATAAAAGGATTCTAAGAAAGAGTGTAGGTGACTGCTTTAAATTTCCTTGAGGAGGTGTGATGCTTGCACTGAGACATGAAGAATAATTATGAGCTAATTAGTGAAAGGGAGGGAGGTGAAGGGTCTTTTAATCAGAGGAAATAGCATGTACACAAAGGCTTAGTTAGTGGTGGCAGGGCATAGATTTGTGTGTCTAGAGATATGAAGTAAGAGAAAGAGGAATTGAAATTAGACTAGAGATGTAGGTAGATACCATTATCACACAGACCATTAGGCTGTATTTGATCTTTCTATCTTAAACGCAATTGGAAGCCTTTAAGCAAGGGATAAATTATTAGATTTGCTTTTTTTTTTTTTTTTTTGAGACAGAGCCTTACTCTCTTGCCTGGGCTAGAGTGCCATGGCATCAGCCTAGCTCACAGCAACCTCAAACTCCTAGGCTCAAGTGATCCTCCTGCCTCAGCCTGCCGGGTATCTGGGACTACAGACGTATGCCACCATGACTGGCTAATTTTTCTATATTTAGTAGAGACAGAGTCTCACTCTTGCTCAGGCTGGTCTCGAACTCCTGAGCTCAAGCATTCCTCCTGCCTCGGCCTCCCAGAGTGCTAGGGTTACAGGTGTGAGCCACGTGCCTGCTGACTTGTTTTAAAGATCTGCCTATATATAAAAAATGATTGATATGGGACATAAAAGGATCTGAGAATAATTATTGTAGGTAACTAAATGAGACATATAGAAATTAGAGTAAGAGTAGTAAGTGAATATGATGGTATCTCTACCATCATTAAACAAAAGACACAGAATGACATAAACTGGAAAATAAGATTAAGCCATCTAAAATTAGACTGATGAATGAGTTAATTTTGTACTAATTGCTGTAAAATTACATGGCAGCATTTATTTTAATACACGTGTATTGAGAAGGAAAAAGGAGGAGAAGCAAAAAAAATAGAAAGAGGCTAGTTTAGGATTGGTGAAGTTAAGGATACTTAATAAGAAGGACTAGAAAATTTTATTACAAACCAGTAATAGAAACCTAAATTCTGAGCCCACTTCCAAACTTTCTTACCATGTACCTTGAAGTACAGGAGAGAAAAATTGAGACTTACTAATTAATTATAAATAAATAGCAAGGATAATCATAGTTTCCATTTCAACAAGTTACAACAAATATGAATAAACTGTTAACAGAAAAGAATATCGTTCATTCTTATGTGTAATGCTAGACAATTTGAGAGTACTAGTCTTTATTCTAGCCTTATTTATTGTTACTTTCCTTTTAGTTACAACATTGAAGCTGAATTGGAAGATATGTACGATGATTTCAAACAGGGTGGGTATTTTTGAATAGAGCATTTGATTACAAGAAATGTACTTGTTTGGTATTGGACTTGTTTTTTTTTTTTGTTTTTTTTTTTGAGACAGAGTCCGCTTTGTTTCCAGGATAGAATGAGTGCCATGGCATCAGCCTAGCTCACAGCACCTCAAATCCGCGGCTCAACGATCCTTCTGCTCAGCCTCCCAAGTATCGGACTTTGTATTTGCCTGTTTCTATGATGTAGAGGAAAATGTGATAAGATTTTGTTATGATAGTGAAACTGTAAAATAATTCTGAGACTATCATAGTAAATATGTATAAGAACTTAATTTCTTTTCAACAGAGTAGGTTCAGTTTATTGTTTATATATTCGTCTTTATCTCTTAATCTGTTTCTTCTATTGCAAGTCTTTTACTACTATTGGATTATTGATTTCATTCCTAAAATCACTTCTAAAGTTCATGGAAATGATTTTATTCAACTTCTTGTTTTAAAAAAAAATTTAGTGGGGATTTTGTCTCATTAGCTATTTAAATTTATTTCTTGATAAGAACTATAGATCTTCTGCTATTAATAATTAAATAACAAACTAAATAAAAAATTTTAATATATAAATACAATTAATATTGTGTCCTAAGTATTTCCCAATGAGTTGAAAAGTTATGTCCACACAAAAGCCTCAATATGGATGCTTATGACACCTTCATTTATATTACCAACTTTGGTAGGTATGATATACTGTGTCATTTAGAAGTGGAATATTATTTAACTCTAAAGAGAACTGGCTATCAGTCATGAAAAAGCATGACCTTAACCTTTGACTCGGATGTCGAGTGTGACTCCGACTGGTTAGCAAAATTAGGAGATTAAATTACTCTTTGAACTATATAATTTGAAATAAAAAATCCAAATAAATAAGTTTGTATGAAAAAACTCCAGTTTTTTATTCTCGCAACCTTCATAAATCTGGAGTATTTAAAAAATTAATCCTGAGTAGAATAAAGGAATCGAGAAAAAGCAAACGAGTGCAAGGAGTTAAATACATATTACTGAGTGAAAGAAGCCAATCTGAAAAGGCTACATATGTTATGATTCTAACTATACGATTTCTGGAAAGCAAAGCCATTAGTAGGCAAAAGATCAGTGATTGCCAGGTTAGTGAGGAAGGAGAGTGAGAAGCAGAGACAGAGAATTTAGGGCAGTGAACCATCTGTTATGATACTATAATAGTGGATAATGCATTTCTTAAACCCATAGAATTACTCCATATTAATTGGAACTAACTAGTGAGCACACTGGTGTATATGAGGGAAGTAAAATCAGTGGAAATCAATCATGGAGGGAGGGGAGGAAGGGAGGGACAAACTACTAACAGGTCTCTGAACATTATTTGGGTGATGGACACACCTTTAGTGGACTCACCATTAAAAGTGTCCATGTACCTAAATTTGTACCCCTAATATTTTTGGGGAAAAGCCCATGATGTAAAACATCAAGAATGAACATAATGTAACGATGCACTTTGGGATATAATGATGTCAATGTAATTATATAATCTATAATTAATTCAAAAGCTAAATGTTCATTTTAATAGTAATAATAGTAAAAAATAAAAACTCATTTGTTAAATAGTTAAATACAGATATATATAAGGAACAGTAGAGGGAAAGAATATTGTTTATAATCATTGTTATAATAAGAATTAAACTTTAATTGTTAAGGAAATCAGTGAGGAACCTCTGAAGAAATTTCGAATCTCTGTGTGTGGCATGTTTTGTCATGTAGGTACAATTCTTTTAAGACTGAATTCTTTATCTACACTGGGCAGTGAGTGTTGAGCACTACTTCTCATCCATTACTACACCTCAGAATTTGCCTGGGTGGTTCAAGAACAACAATGATAAATGACGACTGGGCCTAGAGATTTGAAGGCAAACCTCTGGAATAGGGCCTGGGCATCTGTAGTTTCTAAAAGTTCCCTAGGTGATTATGATGCACAGTGAGGTTTGAAAAGCACAAGTGTAGAATGATGGTTAATAATTCTTGTCATCTCTGAAAGGAGTATAGGAACACTGTATTTTTCACTTTGTACTAATGGTTGATAATTCTGCTGGCATTGTGAACAAAAAAGGAACAATGGTGTCAAATAAACAATTACAAATTGAATTTAAAACTATAGAGCTATATTTAGTAAATGTCTGCTGAACTAATATCCTTATAAACATCTACAAATTCAGATTGTGAAAGTTGAAATTCTATGAAAAGTTCATATTGAACAATACAATTTATGAAATTATAAGTTTATGTGATTAGTAAATGTTAAACTCATCCCTAAATTCATAGATTGTTAGATTAATAATAAGTAAAAATGAGACTTTAATATCTGATGACAAAGGATTTTATAGGTATTAAAATCCTATAAAGATATCTTGGCTTTTCAAAGGTGCATTGGTAATGATAAATTAGGAACTGTTTATATTTGAATATGAAAATTTTTGTATGTAATTAAACTTGAGGTTTTCATATATTTTTCTTTTTCATCAAACCATTTAATTTTGTATTAGATATCAGTAGCTGATCTTCCAGGTTTAATAGAAGGAGCACATATGAACAAAGGAATGGGCCACAAATTCCTGAAGCATATAGAAAGAACTAGACAACTTCTTTTTGTTGTAAGTCATATACATGTGATGTTCAAATGAATGTGAAAGTCAATGAGTTGAGTTTTCCTAGAAATTTTTAATAAGATTTGAAGATAGAGTAGTAGCTTATGTTACTATCCTAAGTCTGTTATGATATGGGAATGGAAATGGTATTGTTTACTGTATCAGATGTAAGTTTGGCCATACTTGTCAAGACTTAATTCCTTAATATTTCCAAGATACTACTGTATTATATAGTGTCTCTTACATACCTCATTGATGGTGCTAGAATTATAGGTGAGATTTGTCTATAATTGGTATAAACTTTCTTGTCCATAGTAGTTTTTCATTTTATTAGTGACTGTCGTTTTACCATAATAATGTTTTACCTTGAACCTCAATTTCTGTTATTTATTTTGAATTGCTAAATTGCCAGTGTAGATTGAGAAATTATATTTAATTTGAGAGAGTGAAATATTTCAAAACATAAAAATGTATAGTTGTTCTTATGTTAAAGACTCTCTTTCCTTTTTTAGGTTGATATTGGTGGATTTCAGCTTTCTTCTCAAACTAAATACAGAACTGCTTTTGAAACCATAATCCTGCTTACAAAAGTAGGTTTTCTGTTATACTGTGTTCTGTATCTGGTCTAATATGTAGGCATAAGGGACTATATGGAATGACATATTTAGAATAAATACCCCACCTTACTTTTTATTTTATTTTATTTTTTTTTTTTGAGACAGAGTCTCACTCTTGCTCAGGCTGGTCTCAAACTCCTGAGCTCAAGCATTCCTCCTGCCTCGGCCCCCCAGAGTGCTAGGGTTACAGGTGTGAGCCACCGTGCCTGGCCTAGACTTGCTTTTAAAAAGATCTGCCTATAATATAAAAAATTGATTGATATGGGACATAAAAGGATCTGAGAAATCAATTATTGTAGTAACTAAATGAGACATAATAGAAACTTAGAGTAAGAGTAGTAAGTGAATATGATGGTATCTCTACCATCATTAAACAAAAAGACACAGAATGACATAAACCTGGAAAATAAGATTAAGCCATTCTAAAATTAGACTGATGAAGTAGAGTTAATTTTGTACTAATTGCTGTAAATTACATGGCCAGCATTTATTTTAATACACGTGACTTGAGAAGGAAAAAGGAGGAGAAGCAAAAAATCATAGAAAAGAGGCTAGTTTAGGATTGGTGAAGCTTAAGGATAACTTAATAAGAAAGGACTAGAAAATTTTATCTACAAACCCAGTAATAGAAACCTAAATTCTGAGCCCCACTTCCCAAAACTTTCTTACCATGTACCTTGAAGTACAGGAGAGAAAAATTGAGACTTACTAATTAATTACTAAAATAAATAGCAAGGATAATCATAGTTTCCATTTCAACAAGTTACAACAAAATATGAATTAAACTGTTAACAGAAAAGAAATATCGTTCATTCTATGTGTAATGCTAAGACAATTTTGAGAGTACTAGTCTTTATTCTAGCCTTAATTTATTGTTACTTTTCCTTTTAGTTACAACATTGAAGCCTGAACTTGGAAAGATTATGTACGATGATTTCAAACAGGTGGGTATTTTTGAAGTAGAGCATTTGATTACAAGAGAATGTACTTGGTTTTGGTACTTGGACTTTGTATTTGCCTGTTTCTATGATGTTAGAGGGAAAAATTGTGATAAGATTTTGTTTATGATAAGTGAAACTGGTCAAAATAATTCTGAGCACTATCATAGTAAAATACTGTATAAGAACTTAATTTCTTCTTCCAAAGAGTAGGTTCAGTTTATTGCTATATCATGTCGTCTTTATCTCCTTAATCTGTTTCTTCTCATTGCAAGTCCTTTTACTACTATATTGGATTATTGATTTTCATTTCCTAAAATCACTTTCTAAAGTTCATGGAAATGATTTTATTCCAACTTTCTTGTTTTAAAAAAAAAATTTTAGTGGGATTTTCGTCTCATCTAGCTATTTAAATTTACTTTTCCTTGATAAGAACTATAGATCTTCTGCATATTAATAATTAAAATAACAACTAAATAAAAAAATTTTTAAATATATAACATACAATCTAATAGTTGTGCTCCTAAGTATTTCCCAAATGAGTTGAAAAGTTATGTCCACACAAAAGCCTCAATATGGATGCTTATGACACCTTCATTTATAATTACCAACTTTGGTAGGTGAATGGATATACTGTGGTACATTTAGACAGTGGAATATTATTTAACTCTAAAGAGAACTGGGCTATCAAGTCATGAAAAGGCATGGAACCTTAACCCTTTGCACTCGGATGTCGAGTGTGACTCGACATGGTTAGCAAAAATTAGAGAGATTAAAATTACTCTTTGAATATATCAATAATTTGAAATATAAAAAAATCCAAATAAATAAGTTTGTATGAAAAGAAACTCCAGTTTTTTATTCTGCCACCCTTCATAAAATCTGGAGTATTTAAAAAATTAAATCCTGAGTAGAATAAAGGAATCGAGAAAAAAGCAAACGAGTGCAAAGAGTTAAATACATATTACTGAGTGAAAGAAGCCAATCTGAAAAGGCTACATAGTGTATGATTCTAACTATACGATCTTCTGGAAAAAGCAAAGCCATGTAGATAGCAAAAAGATCAGTGATTGCCAGGGTTAGTGAGGAAGGAGAGGTGAAGAAGCAGAGCACAGAGAATTTTAAGGCAGTGAAACCATCCTGTTATGATACTATAATAGTGGATAATGCATTTCTTAAAACCCATAGAATTACTCACTATTAAATTGGAACTAACTAGTGAGCACACATGTGTATAGAGGGAAGTAAAACTCAGTGGAAATCAATCATGGGGAGAGGGGAGGAAGGGAGGGACAAAAACCTACCTAACAGGTACTCTGAACATTATTTGGGTGATGGACACACCTTTAGCTGGACTCAAGCATTACAAAAGTGATCCATGTAACCTAAAACATTTGTACCCCCTTAATATTTTGGGGGGAAAAGCCCCATAGAATGTACAACATCAAGAATGAACCATAATGTAACGTATGCACTTTGGGATATAATGACGTGTCAATGTAGATTCATATAATCCTATAATGTAATTCAAAAGGCATAAAATTTGTGTTCATTTATAATAGTAATATAATAGTAAAAAATAAAAAACTCAATTATGTTAAATAGTTAAATACAAGATAATATATAGGGAACAGTAGAGGAAAAGAAAATATTGTTTATAAATCATTGTTTATAATAAGAATTAAACATTGTTAATTGTTAAGGGAAATCAGTAGAGAACCTCTGAAAGAAATTTCAGAATCTCTGTCGTGTGCATTGTTTTGTCATGTAGATACAACTTCCTTTAAGACTGAATTCTTTATCTACACTGGGCAGTGAGTGTTGAGCACTACTTCTCATCCATTACTACACCTCAGAATTTGCCTGGGTGGTTCAAGAACAACAATGATAAATGACGACTGGGCCTAGAGATTTGAAGGCAAACCTCTGGAATAGGGCCTGGGCATCTGTAGTTTCTAAAAGTTCCCTAGGTGATTATGATGCACAGTGAGGTTTGAAAAGCACAAGTGTAGAATGATGGTTAATAATTCTTGTCATCTCTGAAAGGAGTATAGGAACACTGTATTTTTCACTTTGTACTAATGGTTGATAATTCTGCTGGCATTGTGAACAAAAAAGGAACAATGGTGTCAAATAAACAATTACAAATTGAATTTAAAACTATAGAGCTATATTTAGTAAATGTCTGCTGAACTAATATCCTTATAAACATCTACAAATTCAGATTGTGAAAGTTGAAATTCTATGAAAAGTTCATATTGAACAATACAATTTATGAAATTATAAGTTTATGTGATTAGTAAATGTTAAACTCATCCCTAAATTCATAGATTGTTAGATTAATAATAAGTAAAAATGAGACTTTAATATCTGATGACAAAGGATTTTATAGGTATTAAAATCCTATAAAGATATCTTGGCTTTTCAAAGGTGCATTGGTAATCATAAATTAGGAACTGTTTATATTTGAATATGAAAATTTTCGTATGTAATTAAACTTGAGGTTTTCATATATTTTTCTTTTTCATCAAACCATTTAATTTTGTATTAGATATCAGTAGCTGATCTTCCAGGTTTAATAGAAGGAGCACATATGAACAAAGGAATGGGCCACAAATTCCTGAAGCATATAGAAAGAACTAGACAACTTCTTTTTGTTGTAAGTCATATACATGTGATGTTCAAATGAATGTGAAAGTCAATGAGTTGAGTTTTCCTAGAAATTTTTAATAAGATTTGAAGATAGAGTAGTAGCTTATGTTACTATCCTAAGTCTGTTATGATATGGGAATGGAAATGGTATTGTTTACTGTATCAGATGTAAGTTTGGCCATACTTGTCAAGACTTAATTCCTTAATATTTCCAAGATACTACTGTATTATATAGTGTCTCTTACATACCTCATTGATGGTGCTAGAATTATAGGTGAGATTTGTCTATAATTGGTATAAACTTTCTTGTCCATAGTAGTTTTTCATTTTATTAGTGACTGTCGTTTTACCATAATAATGTTTTACCTTGAACCTCAATTTCTGTTATTTATTTTGAATTGCTAAATTGCCAGTGTAGATTGAGAAATTATATTTAATTTGAGAGAGTGAAATATTTCAAAACATAAAAATGTATAGTTGTTCCTATGTTAAAGACTCTCTTTCCTTTTTTAGGTTGATATTGGTGGATTTCAGCTTTCTTCTCAAACTAAATACAGAACTGCTTTTGAAACCATAATCCTGCTTACAAAAGTAGGTTTTCTGTTATACTGTGTTCTGTATCTGGTCTAATATGTAGGCATAAGGGACTATATGGAATGACATATTTAGAATAAATACCCCACCTTACTTTTTATTTTATTTTATTTTTTTTTTTTGAGACAGAGTCTCACTTTGTTGTCTAGGCTAGAGTGAGTGCCGTGGCGTCAGCCTAGCTCACAGCAACCTCAAACTCCTGGGCTTGAGTGATCCTTCTGCCTCAGCCTCCCGAGTAGCTGGGACTACAGGCATGCGCCACCATGCCCGGCTAATTTTTTATATATATATCAGTTGGCCAATTAATTTCTTTCTATTTATAGTAGAGACGGGGTCTCGCTCTTGCTCAGGCTGGTTTTGAACTCCTGACCTTGAGCAATCCGCCCGCCTCGGCCTCCCAAGAGCTAGGATTACAGGCGTGAGCCACAGCGCCTGGCCCCCACCTTACTTTTTAAAGCTTTGAATATCAATTAAAGAATTATTTAAATTTGCTGTCTGTAGTTCTTCAGTTTTCACTTGCTCCTCAAACTATTGCAATGGATAAAACCTTCCTTGGGCTTCCAGCTATATGTTATTAATATTTACTTCTCGGACTTTATCTTGCTTCAACTTTGGTACATTGTCTGTTTCTTCTTGAAACATTCTCGATCTTAGCTTAATGAACCATATCTCCTGGTTTTATTTCTACTTCTTAGACTGTTTCTCAGTCTACTTCTTAGGTTCTTTTCTGTTCATCCTTTAAGTAACATCATTCAGAGTCCCATCCTAAACCTGTTGAGCAATCTTACCTATTCCTGTTGCTTCAGTTACTAGTAATATCCCAATGGCTACCATATCTGTATCTGATACCCAGTTCTTTTGGTGATCTTAGGT